CAAATTTACAGCTACCTCCCCTTTCGAGGGTAAGAGCAGCAGATGACCCTCCTGTCCTCAAGTTTCAGGACTTGGAGGGAGCCCCTCTAGAGGTATAAGGCTCCTCTCTCTCCCTTCTCTCGCCCTCCCTGTGGAAGGAGCAATCATCAACCAGATTGCTGAGTTCGGCTCACCTCTTCCTCTCTCCTCCCTTTTGGGATCTGGAACTGTGTCCACCAGCCCCTCCCTGTCCTAAGAGGCAGGACCCTACATGAGAGGCTTGTCCTGCTTCATCTATACCTGGGGAGGTAAGTCTATCAAATTCAGAGGTGAAGCCTGCCTACTCCAACCCAACATTAATCAGTAATAAAGCTGACATCTCTGTTCTCCACCTGGCAGAGTCCTGCATCTCCTTGGTTCTGCTTCTCAGGCCAAGAGGAAAAGAATATTTATATCACTACCTCCTAAGCTCAAATATTTATTAACAACTATAGTAATTAATATGATACACACATACTGAGGACCTGAAGTATCCCAGGAAGCAAACCACAGGAGCCCCGTGACCAGCTCCATAACAAGAAATTGAATTCAGCTAAAAAGATTCTCAGTCACAAGAGCAATCAGGGTCCCCTCCCGAAATTAGGACTCTGATCAAGGAAGGAAAAGGCACATCTAATCCCTCTCACTCTCCTGCTCTTCCCACTTCAAACACACACACACACACAGATCCAGTATGCTTCCCCAAGAATATATCAGAACTCGTTAGGCCACAAGGAACAGAAAACTGAACTCAATCCATCTGAAACAAAAGGAGAATTTCCTGGCATAAATAAATGAAAAGTCCAATGGTTCTAGCATCAGGCTCAGCTAGATCTCGAGATTCAAATGACACATCTCTCTACACTACTGATTCCATTCACAGATGGGCTTTCACCTCATGGTGGCAAGATGGCTGCCAGCAGCTCTAAGCCAACGTCTGACACTCTTAACTAATCCAGCAGAAAAGACAGTGTCCCGTGAGGGACAGCCTCGAAAGCTCTAGAGCTGACTGATGCTCACTAACCAGAACTGGCTTGGATACTCAGAGGAATGGACTACACTGACAACCCAAGTCACACGTCCACCGTGAGCATGGGGTGAACCCCACTCAAACCTCATAGCATGTATATATGAGGTAGGGGTAGTGCCCCAAAGGAAAATTTAGATGCTGCTCCCTAAAATGAGAATGATTCCCGCACTGCAAAATTAACATTTGTCCACTACACCCTGACCCCTTGGTCAGAATCAAGTCAGTGCTGCCTCCTCCAGCCCACTGTCTGGATGTCTGGACCAGCAGGGACTTCTTTGTGCTTTGTTGCTGTTGGTGTTTTAGTCGCTAAGTCCTGTCCCACTCTTTGGGACCCCATGGACTGTAGGCTCCTCTATCTATGGGATCTCCCAGGCAAGAATACTGGAGTGGGCTGCCATTTCCTTCTCCAGGGGATCTTCCTGACCCAGGGATTGAACCCCACGTCGCTTGCATGGGCAGGTGGATTCTTTACCACTGCGCCACCAGAGAAGCTCTCTTTGCGCTTCATGCACAAGGAAGTTCACACCCACCATCTCTGTATATAAGCATTCTGGGCGTCAGGAGCCTGGTTCTCCAAGGTATCTGGGTCGCGTCCTGTGCCCTCACTGCCTAGCAAAGTGCCCCTGTGCCCTAGAAGACACTCCTCCACCCTAGCTCCCACCCGCTCCTGACGCAGAGCTGAGTCACCACGGTGCCCGCCAGCTGAACACCAACCTTGAAAGGGCTTTCCGAAGTCACTGCCAGCCGGGCTCATCTGGCGCCCGCACACTCTGGGACCCAGGGATGCTGGCTTGAAAGGTGAGATAATTATGTCTTCCCCTTCACTCACTTCTCTATCAGTCTCGCAGACCAGAACAGATAAGTGTTCTGAGGGAAGAAAACACTCCTGCAGTATTTAGTTGTGCTCTTTCGTGCCACCCGGCTCCCCGTTCCCAGGTACACCACCCGGCGTCCAGCCTGCACCCTGTCATCCGGTGCCAGCCACCACGCGCTGCTGATCTCTCATCCACTGCCAGGCTGCACATCCCTTATTGCATCCCCCCAGCTTCTCCTTGACCTGCAGCCTCAATGCTTTCCAGATGACTTATACCCGAAGGCCAACTGTCTTCAGGACACCCGCTCCCCTGCCCACTGCAGATTCCCCAAGGCGGAGGGCTTGCCCCTGTCCCCATGGCCTAGACTTCTCTGTAGAATGTGGCTCTGGTGGGTTCCAAGGCCCACAGCACTGTTTAGTTGGAGAAAACGGGGTAGGGGAAAGCAGGTGGCATTGAGTCTCAGAGACAAGGAATTCAAGATCTTCCAGTAAAAGCTAACATTTCATCCATTCGTTCATGTGTTCATTCAACAAACCATTATTTAGGACCTGCTTTGTCCCGGGTACTGTAACAGGTGCCACAGATGTGAAGATACACAACATAGACCAACTCTCTGTCCTCATGGAACATACCTTCTAATAGACATCTGACTTATTTTTGATACCTGTTTTATATGTACATTTATAAAAAACTGGCTCAGACACTATCTATATAATCCTCAGTAAGTGGCATAGCCATCTGTAGCCCACAGACAAGGAACACTGCACTACAAAAGGTTGAATGACCTTCTTAAAGCACACGCTCAGGTCTTCTGACTACAAACCTTATTCTTTCTGGGGCGTCTCCCAAGGCAGGGAGCTAGCAGGTTACAGTCTGGTGTTGAAACAGATGTTAACTCAGTTTCAGGCCTCATGGATAGGAGTAGAAGCTGCAAAAAAAAGAAAGACCAGCCCCTGATCTAAAGGAATTTATGGTCTAAAGAGAGAGAAAGACACATAACCACCTATCATGTATGCAGAAACAAAGATAGAGTGATTAAATCCAAATAGGAAGATACCTCTGGAAAAATATCCAGGAAGCAATGATCACCTCCAGGCAGGAAAACTGCGTACCTGAGAAACAGGGAGAGGAGGATCATTTTGTATGTTCAAATATTATATATTTTGAACTGTGCACCAGTGAATTTACTTCCCATTGAACGACACTTTGAGGATGCAATCAGCCAAATCCTGAATGTGGGAAATTTCTCAGGATAAATGATCTGGTTTCTTCAACAAGCAAATAGCTTCTCAGAAAAAGAGAGAGGGAAAATATTACAGACTTGAAAAGATATAGAAAACAGCAATCAAATGTAATATATACACTTTGGGTAGATACAGGTTTGAATCAACTTGAAAAAGAAATTTTGGAGGACAACGAGGAAGATTTGAATATGGACTAGCTATTAGAGGTATTAAGAAATTATCGTCAATTTTGTTAGATATGATGAAAGCTGAGCACCGAAGAATCGATGCTTTGGAACTGTGGTTCAAAATGAACTGTGGTTCATTTGAAGAAGACTCTTGAGAGTGCCTTGGACAGCAAGGAGATCCAACCAGTCCATCCTAAAGGAAATCACTCCTGAATATTCACTGGAAGGACTGATGCTGAAGCTGAAGCTCCAATACTTTGGCCACCTGATGCGAAGAACTGACTCATTGGAAAAGATCCTGGTGCTGGGAAAGATTGAAGGCAGAAAGAAAAGGGGACGACCGAGGATGAGATGTTTGGATGGCATCATCAACCCAATGGACATGAGTTCGAGTAGCCTCCAGGAGTTGGTGATGGACAGGGAGGCCTGGCATGCTGCAGTCCATGGGGTTGCAAAGAGTCGGACAAGACTGAGCGACTGAATGATCATGGTCCTGTAGTTATGGTGTTTTTTAAGGTCCTTATCTATTACAGACAGATACTGAATTTTTTTCAAATAATATGATGCTGGAGATTTGCTTTTAAGTATTTCAGCAAAAAATAGTAACAAATGAATGAAGTAAATGAAGAAATGAATAAAGGGGACAGAAGATAAAACAAGACTGGCAAAATGCTGACAATTTCTGAAGCTGGATAACAGTTCCATAGGGGTTCATACTCCTCTACCCTTGTGGATGGGTGAAATTTTCATAATGAAAACTTTAAATAAAAATTTTAAAAGTAATTATTCCAGCCGGCTAGGATGACTGAGGAGGAAAGCGTCACAGAGGCAAGGTGTCTGTGCTGAGTCCTGAAGGATGACGAGGAATTTTCTAAGGGGCAGAGGGCCTTCCAGGCTGAGCAAAGATACACCGATCTATCACACAGCTCTCTCTATCACACACCTCCCTCTGGAAGAACCGAAGGTATCTATCATGTCAATCGCTCAGTCATATCTGACTCCGCAACTCTCTAGACTCTGGTCCACTAGACTCCTCCTCTATGGGATTCTCCAGGCAAGAATGCTGGAGTGGGTTGTCATTTCCTCCTCCAGGAGATCTTCCCACCCAGGGATCAAACCTGCATCTCTTGTGTCTCCTACATTGGTAGGAGGATTCTTTACCACTGCGCCACCTGGGAAGCCCAAAGCTATCTATACTTGATCCCAGACTCAACTTACATCCCACACAAGTGCACCCTTGCTTAATCCCCCAACTCTCTGGGACACGTAGGCAGAGCACCAAAACCAACTACAGTCTTCCAAATGAAAACAGAGTGTATGGTCGACAGTGCCACTCGGAGGCCTAGAGCAGGGGCAGTCTTCAGAGGACGGGAAAGCAATTAACCTCTTCCCATTGGGTTTTGCCTGACGAGGCAGTTTGGAAGCCAGCTGAGTTATCAGGGACAGCTTGCCTTCTGCCTTCCTGAGTCATCTCGGACACTTGCATTCCCCGGGAACACACACCAGCCTGCCCAACAGCACCTTTTAGATTTATAACCTTAGAACCAGGGGGTCCAGCCTCACAGCAGCCTGGCAGCCCAACCCCTGGGCATTAATATAGCTCCCCTCCTTCTTCCCAAGCCACCTGCCTCAATCCCCACCCTGTTCCCTGCCCACCTCCAGCTGCACACCAGAAGCTTGCTGGCTTTGCAGTGGCCCAGCTCAGATGGGTCCCACGGGTCCTTACCTTGGATCGAAGCTGCAAGTATTCCTCTGAGCCATAGGGGACACTCCTCAGGGATGTAAGATAGTCGTAACTGATCACAGCTGTCTGTGAACCAAGAAAGAGGAAGGCTTAGCACCAGACATCAAATACTACTCCGCTATCCAAGGCCCGCATCTACAGGCCCCTGACACAGGTGGCATGTCCAGAGAAGCAATCCCATCTCTTAGAGGCCCTGCCCCCAGATTCTGGTCTGGCTGGTTTCTCCCTGTCAGCCAAGGCTCTGCACAAATACCATCCCTGCAGAGACCCTCAATCTAAAGAGACCCCCACCCACTGGGAACTCCCAATTATTTATCATGACAAACCACCATCCAAAGTTACCTTGCTCATTTGTTTCCTTGTATATGGACAGTCTCCACTTCGCTAGAAATTAAGCTCTGAAAGCACAAGGGCATGTCCTTCCTATTTATCATCATATCCCTTGCATCTTTCACAGTGCCAAGCGCACAGGTGAATGCTCAACAAATACTAGTTAGATGAACGCTGTTGGATAAAATTATCCCACCTCTCTGTATCACAAATAAACACCATTTCATATTTATGTTTGCTCTAACAGCATAAGTTTTAAATCTAGGTCCCTTGGTCAAAAATCCAGAAGAGGTTCCCTTATGTTTGATGAATCAGAAAGTTACAGGCTCCCAGGGATCTCAGGCACAGAGGAGCCTTGAGGGTTGCTGGGCCCAAACCCTCCCTTTTAGAATTCAGCAACTGCGGCCCTTAGAAATTAAGGGCCTTAACAAGGCTGGTATTGAGAAGAGTCCATTCCTTTGTCTATACTGCCAATGTTTCATTCCATTCCATATATACTTACTGAATACCAACCACTAGCAAGACCTGGCCTGAGCGGTCCACAGGGATAATTAAGACCAGAGCCCTGCATTACGCTCAGTGAAAGGTCAGACAGAGAAAGACAAATACTGAATGATATCACTTAAATGTGGACTCTAAAAAATACAACAAGCCAGAGAATATAAAAAAAGAGGCAGACTCACAGATATAGAGAACAAACTTGATGGTGTGGTCACTCACCTAGAGCCAGACAGACTAGAGTGTGAAATCAAGTGGGCTTTCAGAAGCATTACTATGAACAAAGCTAGTGGAGGTGACAGAATTACAACTGAGCTATTTCAAATACTAAAAGATGATGCTGTCAAAGTGATGCACTCAATATGCCAGAAAATTTGGAAAACTCAGCAGTGGCCACAGGACTGGAAAAGCTCAGTTTTTATTTCAATCCCAAAGAACAGCAATGCCAAAGAATTGTCCAAACTACTGTACAATTGCTGTCATTTCACATACTCACACAGTAATGCTCAAAATCCTTCAAGGTAGACTTCAGCAGTACACCAACAGAGAACTTCCAGATATACAAGCTGGATTTAAAAAAGGTAGAGGAACCAGAGGTCAAATTGCCAACATCCATTGGATCATAGAGAAAGCAAGGTAATTTCAGAAAAACATCTATTTCTGTTTCACTGACTATGCTAAAGCCTTTGACTGTGTGGGTCACAACAAACTGTGGAAAATTCTTAAAGAGATGGAATACTAGACCACCTTATTGTCTCCTGAGAACCCTGTATGCAGGTCAAGAGGCAACAGTTAGAACCAGACATGGAACAATGGATTGGTTCAAAATTGGGAAAGGAGTATGTCAAGGCTGTATATTGTCACCCTATTTACTTAACTGCTATGCAGAGCACATCATGTGAAATGCTGGGCTGGATGAATCCCAAACTGAATCAAGAGTGAAAGGACAATAACAACCTCAGATATGCAGACAATACCACTCTAATGGCAGAAAGTGAAGAGGAAATAAAGAGCCTCTTGATGAGGGTCAAAGAGGAGAGTGAAAAAGTTGGCTTAAAACTCAACATTCAAAAATAGAAGATCATGATATCCGATCCCACCACTTCATGGCAAATAGAAGGGGAAAAAATGGATGCAGTTTTTTTGGAGCCCAGGATTTTATTTTCTTAGGCTCCAAAATCACTGCAGATGGTGACTGCAGCCATGAAATTAAAAGACACTTCCTCCTTGGAAGAAAAGCTATGACCAACCTAGACAGCATATTAAAAAGCAGAGACACATTACTTTGCCGACAAAGATCCGTCTAGTCAAAGCTATGGTTTTCCCAGTAGTCATGGACAGATGTGAAAATACAGAAAAGAAGGCTGAGCACCAAAGAATTAATGCTTTTGAACTGTGGTGTTGGAGAAGATGTTTGAGAGTCCTTTGGAAAGCAAGGAAATCAAACCAGTCAATCCTAAAGGAAATCAGTCCTTAATATTCACTGGAAGGACTCATGCTGAGCTCCAATACTTTGGCCACCTGATGCAAAGAGCCAACTCATTGGAAAAGTTGATTTCCTGATGTGGGAAAGATTAAGGGCAGGAGGAGAAGGGGGCAACAGAGGATGAGATGGTTGGATGGCATCCCCAGTTCAACGAACATGAGGTTGAGCAAACTCCAGGAGACAGTGAAGGACAGGGAAGCCTGGTGTTCTTCAGTCCACGGGATTGCAAAGAGTCGGACACGACTTGGTGACTAACAATAGCAATGGGCAGAGAGAAATAGGGAAGGGCACAATTGGGGAAGGGGATTAACAGGTACAAACTATTAGGTATAAAATAAGCCACAAAGATATATTATACAAAATGAGGAATATAGCCAATATTTTTAAATAACTATAAATGAAGCATAGCCTTTAAAACCTGTGAATCACGATATTGTGCACCTGTAACTTATATAATATCATACAGCAATCATATTTCAATAAGAGAATTTTTTAAATATCACTTCCCCTCAAAAAAAAAAAAAAAAAAAAAAGACCAGAGCCCAGATCTTTAAAGAATATACAGCCCAGTGAATCTACAATAACCTCAATAAAAATTTCAAAAGAAAAAAAAAAAAGAAACTAAGCCAAATAAAAATAAAAATCCAGTGCCCTAAATGCAATGTGATATCCTGGAGTAGATCCAGAAATGGAAACGGAATAAAAGTGACCAAATCTGAATAGAACCTGGAGTTCAGCAAATAGCAATGTACCAATGTTACTTTCTTAGTTTTCATAAATGTATCATGGTCACATAAGATTTTAATATTAGGGGAAACTGGATGAAGGGCATATGGGCACTCTGTACTATCTTTCCAACTTTTCTATAAACCTAGAATGATCCCCGAATAAAGCACTTATTTAAAGAAGAAAAGAATGCACAACCCAGTGGCTGCTTTATATAGCACTGAGTTATACCTTCGTCCCTCCTCTCGGACTATGCAAATCCCTAAGGTTCCATCCAACCCCGCTCCCCCTAAGACACGCATCCTGACTCCCAGCCCACAGGATTCACTCCTGTGTCTGAGGTCCCACAGCAGCCATCACCCGAGTCACGCAGCTTGACACAATCCCGGGCTTTAGACTATTTTTCTGACCTATCCACATGGACACTCCTCAATCAGAAGCTCTTTCAAAGCTGCACCTGGGCGGGACAGTTCGTGTCTACCCCTGAAGCCTGTATGACAATATTGCGCTCAGAAAGGGCCCCTAGCAAGCACGTGGGAATCATTACATATTCCATGGCCTGTGTATCTATTCGCTCATCGTGAGCTATGATAGGTTCCAGTTTACCTTGAGGCACAGGCCCCATGTCTGAGCCAGGCTGGGGAGAGGACGGGACAACGCTGAGTATTAAAAGAAACTATTATTCTCTGAGATCTGCTCTTCCTGAAGTGGATCAATGATGAAAATAGCCTAATCTGAGCATCAGGAAAGACCCCTTAGTCTACCTGATGCATGATCTCTATAGTTCTGAGAAGCAAAGGGTAATTGAAAGTAAGGGGTGTGTGTGTGTGTGTGTGTGTGTGTGTGCGCGCGTGCGTGTGTGTGTGCGCGCGCGTGCGTATTTATGAAAGTGACAGTAGATAACTGAGGACTTAACTGATGGGTGGGTGAGAGCTGGCTGGGAGTGTGTGTGTAAGAAAAGCTGATCCATTCTGAGCAATGATGAAAAGTTTTTACTACAGACCTTTATAACTATGAAGGTTTCTACACTTGATCTGAGCTCAGAATGAATTAAACATAAATAAATAAATAAATAAATAAAATAAAAGACACAATTAGACAAGAGCCCAGACAGACTGTGCTTCGCGAAGGAATGTGTGAGCTCATCCTGCAGCAGACCAAGGAGGAAAGAAGGCGTGAAGCCCGTGGCAATTACACAGTGCTGTCTGGAGGAGTCGCCTTCCGCAGAGGTACAGAGGGCGCCGTCACGCCAGAACCATGTCGCTGAGCCATCCAACAGTCAAGTATTTAGCTCAGCTTCTCTGAGTCTGGGGCTTGGGGCACATCCCCAAAGTTCTTCCAGGCCCCGACACTCTGAGTGTGAGCCCTGCGTCTGTCATGAACCGTTCCCAGGAGCTCACTGGAGGCAGACCAAGTTTTCAGCTAGGATTTAATCAAAGCTGCAAACGCCTCTTTCCCTGCGAGTTTGCTAAGGAGACCGCCAGATGAGTCGGCCCCTAAAATAAGATACGGAAGGTTCTGGAGAGGTAACGTGTTCAGAAGAGAGACCCCAGGCAATCCCACTCTGTGTTTAACTTCAGGATGGCAGAGGTTGTGAGCACGGGGACGTGGCGGGCACCTCCACGACAGTGCAACTGTGTAGTGAGAGCGTCCTCACACAGGTCACGGTACTCGCTCATCGCCGCACATGTGTGACTGGCGAGTCCGTCGGCCGTATGCGTGGACAGCTGCAAGCAGCGCCGCGGCTCCTCTGCCCCTCCCGAGAGGAGAAGAACCTACCGTGGCCACCGCTCGGCCCACCCTGATAGCACCAAAGTCGTTGGGGTCCAAGCACTTGCTGCTGTAGAGGCAGACGCCGGAGGCGGCGAGAGCCATGCTGGTCCACGAAGCGAGCTTGAGCACCCTGCGGGCCATGTCCCAGACCCTGCAGCGGGAGAGCAGAGAGAAGGGAGCAGTCAGAGAGTTTCATACGGAGCCGAATTCAAATCCGGGCTCTGCCACTTAACAGACTGTACGATTCTGGGGTCATTTTCTCAACCTCACTGCACTCACATTGCCTCATTTGTGAAACGTGATGACACCTACCTCAAAAGTTGCTGGGGAAGCACTTCCCTGGTCATCCAGTGGTTACGAATCTGCCTGCCAATGCAGGGAACAAGGGTTCGATCCCCGGTCCCGGAAGATACCGCATTTCCAAGGGGCAGCTAAAGCCCGTGGGCCACAACCACCGAGCCTGAGATCTAGAGCCCTAACTACTGAGCCCACACGCCGCAACGAGAGAAAGTTCATGCACAGCAATGAAGACCTAGTGCAGCCAGAAAAATACAAACTAAAAAATAAATTTCAAAAAAAAAAGCTGTTGGGATAAAATGAGATCACATGGCTGAAATGCTGAGCACGGTATCCAGCACAATGCAGTGCTCAAAGCCGTTCTTCCTTTCACAGTGCCAGGCACTGTGCTAGGCACTAGGGAGAGAGCCAAGAAAACAGAGCTCTTACGCTCTGGAGGAAATGACAGACCCTAAGGCATGCATGAGGACAGCAGCAGGTAACCAGTGCTGAAAAGAAAATCAAAGCGGGTAAGAGAAAGGGTGACGGATATGTAGTCAAGGATGCTGCTTTAGAGAAGAAGCGAGAGCATGGCAACTTCCGCCACCTGAAAACTATTATCATGCCACTAATCTCACACAGGCATCATCAGCCCTCTCGGCCCAGGTTGGAAGGGGCCACAGCCAAAACGGCAGCTGCTCAGAAGCTGCCAGGTAAGCCCCCCACATCTGATCAACTTTCAAACTATTTCTTTTGGATAGAACATAGATAGCGCCTTGTCTAGACTGTAGGCGCCTTGAAAGCCAACACCACGGCTGTTGCTACTTCGTCCACTCCCAGTCCCGTAGGCTGCGTTACGGTTGGGGGCTCAAAGTCCCCCTGCAGATATGCTCTGTTTAACCAAACTCACCATTCCCCTCAGCTGAACCAAGCGGGCTCCCAGCTCTGATACCTTTCCCCACCCTACTTCTACCGCCCAGTCCACCAGGCAACACACAGTCTTTGAGGCCACTGTACCCAACGTGTGGCTTCCCCTTCAATTCCGAGCAATACTACATCTAACATCCTTGACCACAGCTGCGGCTGCCGGTGGAGAAGACCCACCCAGGAGAAGCGCCACCACCAAGCCACCTGCAGGTACAAGCCCTGAACAGACGTTTAGGGGGAAATTTCCTTGCAGCAGGAAAATTTAGGTCATCACCCTGTTTGTTTCTGCTCTGGACTCAGTCTATGACCATCCCCTCCCTGAACTGTGCCTCCGATTCCCCTCCATATGGAGACAATTGCTGTAAATAGCCTTGTCTCCACTTTCTTTAAAGTCAGTTTTGACTCATGCCTCATAATATAGTCACAGATTTTTTTTGAAGTATCCACAGGGACATCTTTTTCCATTCTTTTACTTTCAACTTACACTTTATACTGTCTCTCTAAATAGTATATAGTGCATTTTGTCTGTTTGCATTTAATATAGTCATTTATGTATTCTGATTTAATTTTACCATCTTCTGTGCTTTCTATTTTCCTACCTGTTCTGAGTATTTTTCTCTCCTTTCTTGACTTTTTGGGACCCAGTTCTTTTTATAATCCCATTGTTTTTCCCTCTGCAATCTTCTTTTCCTAGCCAACATTTCTAAAGTGTGGTTAGAAGAACACTTGCAAAAAATATCAATCTGGGTGCCATTTCAAAAATGCAGATTTCTGCTAGACTCACAGACCCAGAAAACAAACTTATGATTACCAAAAGGGGAATGGGTTGGGAAGGGCTAAATTGGGAATTTGAGATTAACAGAGACACACTACTATGAATGAAATAAACAACACAATCTACCTCATAGCACAGGGGACTATATTCAATATCTTATAATAAAATAAAATGGAAAAAGAATTTGAAAACAAAAATATGCTTAAATAAATGACTTTGCTATACACCTGAAACACTGTAAATCAAGTATATTTCAATAAAAATTAATAATGATAATGATGTAACAGTAAAAAAAAAAAAAAATGAAGATCTCTGAAGGCCACCCTTTGGCCCGCTGAATCAACACTGGGGGTAGGACTTGGAAATCTGCATTTTAATGGGAAACATAATGGGTCATTTTTAGGCAAAGTTTGAGAACCATTCTTGTTAATATTTCAATTTTAATAGAGGCTTCATGTGTTCAAATTCATCAGTGAAACCATGCCCCCACAACCAACTTTCCAAGTTTATCCTACCCATTCACACCCCAGATGACTGCATTCACCCCAGGAGGATGACTGCAAGCAATTATTTTTAAAGGGATAATTTTAAAAACTCATTTCTTTCACTAAACACAAATGTTCTGGCCCAACTCCTGGGATCAGTTCCTAACTCTGCAAGTAAGGGGTTTGTAGATAAAAAGATTAAATTAAACCATGCTTGCAGTGTCCCCTTTACCCCATCCCTTGTTGTCATTGTTCAGTCATGTCTGACTCTTTGTGACCCCATGGCCTGCAGCAACCCAGAATTCCCTGTCCATCACCATCTCCTGGAGCTTGCTCAAACTCATGTCCATGGAGTCAGTGATGCCACCCAACTATATCATTCTCTGTCATCCCCTTCAATCTTTCCCAGCATCAGGGTCTTTTCTAATGAGTTAGCTCTTCAAATCAGGTGGCCAAAGTATTGGAGCTTCAGCTTCAGCATCAGTCGTTCTAATAAATATTCAGGGTTGATTTCCTTTAGGATTCACTGGTTTGATCTCCTTGCAGTTGAAAGGACTCCCAAGAGTCTTCTCCAAGACCACAGTTCAAAAGTATCAGTTCTTCTTCACGGTCCAGCTATCACATCTATATATGACTACAAAGCTAGTGGAGGTGATGGAATTCCAGCTGAGCTACTTCAGCTGGAAATAGCTTTGACTATACAGACCTTTGTAGGCAAAGTAATATCTCTGCTTTTTAATATGCTCTCTAGGTTTATGATAGCTTTTCTTCCAAGGAGCAAGCGTCTTTTAATTTCATGGCTGCAGTCACCATCCGCAGTGATTTTGGAGCCCAAGAAAATAGTCTCTCACTGTTTCCATTGTTTTCCCATCTATATGTCATGAATGATGGGACCAGATGCCATGATTTCATTTTTTGAATGTTAAGTTTTAAGTCAGCTTTTTCACTCTCCTCTTTCACTTTCATCAAGAGGCTCTTTAGTTCTTCACTATCTGCTGAAACAGTGGTGTCATCTGCATATGAGGTTATTGATATTTCTCCTGGCAATCTTGATTCCAGCTTGTACTTCATCTAGCCCAACATTTCACATGATGTATTCTGCATATAAGTTAAATAAGCAGGGTAACGATATACAGCCTTGACGTACTCCTTTCCCAGTTTGGAACCAGTCTGCTGTTCCAAGTTTGGTTCTAACTTTTGCTTTTTGACCTGCATACAGATTTCTCAGGAGGCAGGTAAGGTGGTCTGGTATTCCCATCTCTTTCAGAATTTTCCATAGTTTATTGTGATCCACACAGTTAAAGGCTTTGACATAGTCAATGCAACAGAAATAGATATTTTTCTTGAATTCTCTTGCTTTTTCTATGATCCAACGGATGTTGGCAACTTGATCTCTGGTTCCTCTGCCTTTTCTAAATCCAGCTTGACCATCTGGAAGCTCTTGGTTCACATACTGTTAAAGACTGGCTTGGAGAATTTTGAGCATTACTTTGCTAGCATGTGAAATGAGTGCAGCAGCTTGAACATCCTTTGGCATTGCCTTTCTTTGGGATTAGAATGTAAACTGACCTTTTCCAGTCTTGTGGCCACTGCTGAGCTTTCCAAATTTGCTGGCATATTGAGTGCAGCACTTTCACAGCCTCATCTCTTAGGATTTGAGATAGCTCAACTGGAATTCCATCACATCCACTAGCTTTGCTTGTAGTGATGCTTCCATGTGACTTCACACTCCAGGATGGCTGGTTCTAGGTGAGTGATCACTCCATTGTGGTTATCTGGATTATTAAGATCTTTTTTGTATAGTTCTTCTATGTATTCTTGCCACCTCTTCTTAATATCTTCTGCTTCTGTTAGGTCCATACCACTTTTGTCCTTTATTGTGCCCATCTTTGCATGAAATGTTCCCTTGGTACCTCTAGTTTTCTTGATGAGATCTTCAGTCTTTCCTATTCTATTGTTTTTCTCTATTTCTATGCATTGTTCACTTACGAAAGCTTTCTTATCTCCCCTTGCTGTTCTTTGGAACTCTGCATTCAGATGGGTATACCTTTCCTTTTCTTCTTTGCCTTTCACTTCTCTTGTTTTCTCAGCTATTTGTAGGGCCTCCTCAGACAGCCATTTTGCCTTTTTGCATTTCTTTTTCTTGGGGATGGTTTTGATCACCACCTCCTATACAATGTCACTAACCTCTGTCCATAGTTTTTCAGGCACTCAGTCTATCAGATCTAATCCCTTGAATCTATTTGTCACTTCTACTGTATAATTGTAAGGGATTTTATTTAGGTCATACCTAAATGGCCTAGTGGCTTTCCCTACTTTCCTCAATTTAAGTCTGAATTTGAATATAAGGAATTCATGATCTGAGCCACAGTCAGCTCCTGGTCTTGTTTTTGCTGACTGTATAGAGCTTCTCCATCTTCAGCTGCAAAGAATATATTCAATCTGATTTTGGTGTTAATCATCTGGTGATGTCCATGTGTAGGGTAGTCTCATGTTGCTGGAAGTGGGTGTTTGCTATGACCAGTGCATTCTCTTAGCAAAACTCTGTTAGCTTTTGCCCTGCTACATTTTGTACTACAAGGCCAAACTTGCCTGTTACTCCAGGTATCTTCCTACTTTTGCATTCTAGGCCCCTATGATGAAAAGGACATCTTTTTTTGGGTGTTAGTTCTAGAAGG